GAGCCAGCAGCATAATCTGGTATGCAAAGAATGGAAGCTTCTAAAGTTAATGGTGTCTGAAGCATACAATTGAACCAGTACTGGTCCTGTTCTCAGCATTCATAAAGCACCAGCCTGAACAATATGGTTGCTGTTAGGGAATTTTATTTACTTTTTCCTCTGAATGAATACTGGAAAGTGAGTCCTCAAGAGAAGGTGGCTTCAGCTGGGAAGATGGGTAAGTGGTAGCATGCTTGCCTTGCATGCATGTGGTCCTGGGTTCGATTCCTCAGTACCATATAAGCAGAAAATGCCAGAAATGACGATATAGCTTAGTAGTAGAGCGCTAGCCGTGAGCTGAAGAGCTGAGGGACAGTCCCCAGGCCCAGAGTTCAGGCCCCACACTGACAAAAAAAAAGAGAGAGAGAAGGTGTCTTGCTAACAAGACTGCTGACCAAAATCCATGTAGCTTACAACTTTTCTCAAGAAAAGATAGTTTTCAAATAGTGCTAGGAAGCCTGGATACCTACATGTAAAAGACTGCATCCAGTTCCCTATCTCTCACCATGTATAAAAACCAATTCATAATAGATTTTAGAAGACCTTAATGTAACACCTGAATCTAGAGTAAAACATACGAAAAATATTTTAAGATATCGGCAGTTACTTTCTGAATAAGATGCATCAAATCCAAAAGCTCCTGCATATCAAATGAAATTAAGAATGTTAAACAGCCAGGCTCTGGTGGCACACACTTATAATCCTAGTTATGTTGTAGGCTGAGATTTGAGGATCATGGCACAAAGCCAGCCTGGACTTTATTTTTTATTTTTTGCTAGTACTTGGGTTTGAACTCCACATTCTGGACTTGAACTTGCTAGGCAAACACTCTGCCACTTAAGCAGTGTCACTATGCCATTTTTGCTTTTTCAGATGGTCTGCCTCATGATCCCCCACTTTACATCTCACGTAACTATTATTATAGATGTACACCATTATGCTCTTTCTTTGTTCGTGGTGGGATCTCCCTATCTTTTCCCCAGGTTGGCCTTGAACTGGGATCCTTCCAATTTCTGCCTTCCTAGTAGGTACGATTTCAAGTATGTGCTATTAGTCTTTTCAGTCTTGAGATCAGTTCATAGTATAATTTCCTAATGAAAGGAAATAATCCACCATATTTTGTTCTAGTCAGGCAATTAGAATACTTTTCTTGATTCTTGTTTATTTTAAAGGGTCAGACTTTGATAACCTGAAGACTTTGCAGAAGAAAGCAATCACAAAAATGTTTGAAGTGAGGGACTATTGTTTGAGGCATGATAAGAAAAGAGATGTCTGTAAACCATGTTTAATATAGAAATTACCTCTTATTTAAGAAAAGACTAAACTGGGAACTGGTGGCTCATGCCTGTAATCCTAGCTACTCAGGAGGATGAGATCTGAGGATCGTGGTTCAAAGCCAGCTCAAGCAGGAAAGTCCATGAGACTTTAATCTCCAGTTAACCACCTGAAGACCCGAAGTGGTGCTGTGGCTCAAGTGGTAGAGCACTAGCCTTGAGCTGAAGAGTTTAGGGACAGTGCCCAGGCCCAGCCCTACAACCATCCCCCGGCTCCTCCCTCCCTCCTCTCCCCCACCAAAAAAAATGTCTAAAGGTACAAATGATAGTTATCTTGAAATGCTTCTCAGTTACCATGTAACAAAGGAAAAGTACAAGAAGAGAGATGGAATTCAATTAACAATAGTCTCCTCAGAAATAGAGACACTTAACAAATAAATTGACTAATACTGGGAAACAGTAACCTCTTTATTAGAAGTATTTAGTCAGGGCCTGAATATTTGGATAAATAATACAAAGGATACTTTTGGGTAGAAGAGCCTGAACTAAAATTAATGACTCCCAAATTTGACACAATATTATTATTACCCATGGAGTTTATTAAAAGAACATTTTCAGAGATGAATACATTTGTATGTCACTCCCATTGACATCTCCTGTTAATTTCTGAAACTGAGTAAGCAACACAAACTTTTGATAGAATACAAATTCCATGAGGTCAAGGATCTTTAATTTATGAGCTAATCCTTAGAGTCAATTATACTGTTTTAGCATATAGTAGATGTCTAACTAATGGCATATCTTAAGGAAAGAAAACAGTCCGCTATACTGATATTTGTGGTATAAATTTGTAAAAGTATATGTAAATCTGTTATGCTGTCCTTAAATATTTAAGAATTCTGAACTATGAGCCACTGGCTTTCGCCTATAATCATAGCTACTCTCAAGCAGCTAAAATCTACAGGATCATAGTTGTAGGCCAGTCTGGGCAGAAAAGTCCAAGAGACGCCATCTTTAAAATAATCAGCAAAAAGCAAAGCTAGAGGTGTGGCTCAGGTGGCAGAGCTGCCTGCCTAGAAAAAAAAATGGAAAAGGCACAGGAAAGCAGAACTAACAGTTAACTTTCAAAGAACTCATAAGAAATGTTTGAATGTAGAAAGAAGATTAAAGTTCCAAAGTTAGATTGCCTGCTTTTCCCATAGAGTTTTGGAAATTCTTGTTGCTAGGATGGAGAACCACTACCAAAAGGAAATTATTTTATGTAATTGTCATTCTTGTCATTCATATTTTCTACTATTATTCACTTGGTATTTTACTATATTGTCCAAATACTCAGATCTCTAACATGGTCCTTTGATTTACTTCCACAGTTTCACTGATTTTGGTCTGTCATGGAGCTTGCACTCTGGGCCTGGGCGCTGTCCCTCAGCTTTTCAGCTCAAGGCGAGCGCTCTACCACTTGAGCTACAGCGCCACTTCCTACTTTGACACTTTTAAAATAACTAATAAATATATCTTTGAAAGATAACTTTGCTTCTAAGTGCAGATATTGAAAGGATTTATATTTATTGTAGCATGGTTCTAATTATACTAATCTAGATAGAACTTAGTTCTTAATTTAACCGTGCTCAAATATAAAGCCATTATCACTTGTACTATGTATTTTTTGTAGTGTTATAAAACATCACCCTGCCTTGAGATGATTTTGTTTTTGGGTCCGGTCGTGGGGCCTGAACTCTGGGCCTGGGCACTGTCCCTCAGCTCTTCAGCTCAAGGCTAGCACTCTACCACTTGAGCCACAGCGCCACTTCCGGCTTTTTTCTTTTTGCTCATGTGATGCTGAGGAATCGAACCCAGGGCCTCATGCATGCAAGGCAAGCACTCTACCACTGAGCTACCTTCCCAGCCCTTTGACATGATTTTGAACTTACAAGGATCTTACATTTTTTTTTTGCCAGTCCTGGGACTTGAACTCAGGTCCTGGGCACTGTCTCTGAGCTTCTTTTGATCAATGCTAGCATTCTACCACTTGAACCACAGTGTTACTTCTGGCTATTTCTGTTTATGTGGTACTGAGGAATAGGATTCAGGGCTTCATGCGAGCTAGGCAAGCACTCTACCACTAAGCCACATTCTCAGCCCTGACATTTTGATTTAAAATATGACATGTGAAGCACAAAGTATTTTCAATAAATAAGAATACTGGAATAATTTGACAAGGCAAGTGTGTGGTTGTAAATACTTACATGAGAATCGACGTCTCCATTTTGGAAGTGAATAGAAACCAGGATGGCATGGTGGTACACAACTATAATCCTAGCTGCTCATCAGGATAATTATAGTTTACCCTCAGCAAGGGCTATATGTGCAATTACATTTTAACCAAAAGTCAGTTACTGTCTGAGGCCAGCTCCAGGCAAAAGGGAAAAAAAAGAAAAACAAGATACTCCCATGAAAGAAAAATAAAGCATAAAAGGCTTGGATTGGAACGTAAATGATAGAGTGCTTGCCTAGCAAGTGTCAGGCTTTGATTTCAAGCCTTTGTATTGCTCTCCTCCTCTCCCCTCTTCCCTCCTCCCCCCAAAACAGAAAAATCTGGACAGAATCAAATACATGTGGTATTTGGATCAGAATTCTTTGGATTTGTTCTTCATTTTTGATGTTCTTTTACAAAGAAATTAAGGGAAGACAAATAATAAGATAGGACTTAAGATGATCTGATAGGAAAAAAGCCTTAAAAGTTCCCTGTTAATTAGAGGAAGACCCTCCAGGTTCAAAAACCAAAAGGAAAGAACTCAAAGCAAGGGTTGTTTCCTGTTATACACCTATGTAGTGAATTATAGCTTTTCTTTTCTTTTCACTAGATAGATCTGTTATGTTACTTTTCCCTTCTTAATATATTTTTGAAAGGTTTTGTGAATTTACTTTCAAACATATATGTGAATTGCTTTGACCAAGTTTATCCCCCCCACCCAACCTCTCTAGTGCCTTTCTCCCTCCCAATAGTATCCACCTTTACTTCTGAATTTTTAGTGGCAGTTATTATATATTGACATGACAAGTCAGGAGTTCATAAAAATTGCCTGTATAAGTTTTTAAGATGTATATAGTTAACCAAATATAGTTTTCATTTTCACTTTGCTTCATGCTATAGAAAGATTTGTGCATTTATTTACTTATTTAGCTAGCTAGCTAGCCAGTCCTGGGGCTTGAACTCAGATCCTAGGCACTGTCCCCAAGCTTCTTTTGCTCAAGGCTAGCACTCTATCACTTGAGCCATAGCACCACTTTCAGCTTTTTCTTTTTTGTGGTATTGAGAAATCGAACCCAGGGCTTCATGCATGGTAGGCAAGCACTCTTACCACTAAGCCACATTCCCAGCCCCTGCATATACATTTAAAGTTGCAATATCTCTGGTTGTTGTGTACATGAGTTTGTACTACAGATTCCACAGTCATCTAAGCAGAATATTAGACTGCTGAGATATAAAAAAGAATATTCTTAGTGTTTTGGATTTTGTCAACTTGTTAATAAAATTATAAAGTGTATAAGGGGATTTAGACTTTTTCACAGGGTAGAATTGCTATGATGTGTTAACCCTATTTTGTCTTAACAGGCTTTAATTTCATTAAGGTATATTTTTGCTTTTAGAGTTTAAGAACTCAATGAACTATTTTATTTCTCCAGTGAACATCACCTCTGCTAGGCAGTTAACCGGATGTAGTCGCTTCAGCCATATTTTCCCTTCATCTGCCTACCAGCATATTAAGATGCACAAGAGAATTCTGGGGCACTTATCTTCTGTCTACTGTGTAGCATTTGACCGGAGTGGGAGAAGAATTTTTACAGTGAGTTTGAAGTTTATTATATGGTAACATTATAAATTTAAAACAATTGAAGGTAGACATTATGGCATTGCATATGTTTGTAAACCATTCATCCCATTTGGACATATTAATGCAAGAACACATGGATAGAAATTGAAGACCTTTTCACTCTCCTTTTATATAAAGGGTGAACAATAATGTCCACTATTTTTTGAGAAATTTAATTACAAAATGAAATCTGTAGAAGTCCCTATATTCTTGTAAGGGATAATGCATGTAAAACATGTATATTTGGGTCTCTTTCATTCTATTTTAGTAAATGTTTGTCAAAATGAATTTTTACGTTTCACTTAGTATAATTGCTGACTGTTTTGCCCAATTAATGATTATATCACTTTATGATTGAACTGTTGAGTCACATGGTAGGTAATGAAGAGTCTAACTATATTTTGTTTGTTTGTTTATTTGGGTCCTGTCGTGGGGCCTGAACTCTGGGCCTGGGCGCTGTCCCTCAGATCTTCAGCTCAAGGCTAGTGCTCTAACACTTGAGCCACAGTGCCACTTCCGGCTTTTTTCTTTTTTGCTTACGTGGTGCTGAGGAATTGAACCCAGGGCCTCATGCATGCAAGGCAAGCGCTCTACCACTGAGCCACCCTCCCAGCCTGAGTCTAACTATATTATATACTTTTTTATTTTAATGCTGGTTACTTTTTTGGGGGGAGGAGGGAGGAGCGGCTGGGCACTGTCCCTGAGCTCTTCAGCTCAAGGCGAGAGCTCTATCACTTGAGCCACAGCACCACTATCACTGATTACTTTTTAAAGTGAGTTTTATTAACTATATCATGCTTTTGCTTTTGAGTAAAACAATTGGAGGAGGAGTACATTAGGATTTTTAAGAAATACTAATCTCATTGCTTTATGGCTAAGTTAACACAGGTGCAGATAATAGCACAGTTTATTTTTTTCTATTTATATGCTACAACAAAGGCAAGGTTTGTTATTTTGAGATGTTATAACTCCTTAGACTTCATTACAGAGTCTTCAATTGATGACTTCATGTCTCCTAAGTGTTACCTGTGTATTTTGTTGTTAATGAGTATGATGAGGATGGGAAATGCTGTCTTTTAATAAATATTATGTCACTATTAAATACCTATCACATTCACATATTTTAATATTTTAAAATATTTTTGAAGTTCTTTGTAAGAATTTCAACTTAGTATTTTCCCGTCAGATTAAAATGGCCTCAAGTTTCCTAAAAAATGAATATATACTTTAAATAAGTTAGCAATTTGAAGAAAACATTTTTTTTTACAAAATTAAGGAAAATAATGCTTCCAGGCATATATTGAAAAATAGTGACAGACCTCTGTACATCATCACCTTGAAAATAAAATTTAAAAATATAGTGGCAGAGGGCCGGGAGGGTGGCTCAGTGGTAGAGTGCTTGCTTTGCATGCATGAAGTCCTTGGTTCTATTCCTCAGTACTACATAAGCAGAAAAAGCCTGAAGTGGTGCTGTGGCTCAAGTGGTTGAACACTATCTTTGAGCTGAAGAGCTGAGAGACAGTGCCCAGGCCGAGTCCAGGCCCCATGACCGACCATAAAAAAAAAAAAAAAAAACAGTGGCAGAAATATTTGATGGGAAGTCACTGAAAAGTAAGGTAGAATATTCTGAGTTTTCAGGGTTAGTAATAGTTTTACCTTGTCAGTCATGTTATTTGGACATAGTTTATATTTGCTATGGATACTAATTTGCTATGGAGACTAATAGGTAAAGGCTTAGCAGTAACTTAATGATCCCTACCTTTTATCTTCTTGTTATTTTCAGTGGCTAGGTGGGAAATTTCTGCTTCACTGGAAAATTTGTGTCTATTTTAACTGTAGGGATCTGATGACTGCTTGGTAAAAATTTGGGCTACAGATGATGGGCGCCTCCTTGCTACACTTCGAGGGCACTCTGCTGAAATTTCTGACATGGCTGTCAACTATGAAAATACTCTCATTGCCGCAGGCAGCTGTGATAAGGTTGTAAGAGTATGGTGTCTTCGAACTTGTGCACCAGTTGCAGTCCTTCAGGGACATTCAGCTTCTATTACTTCCATACAGGTAAGAAAAATAAGATCTCTCTAACATAAGCAATCAAGCTGAGAGTGCTTACATTTGTTATGTTCAGTAAGTAATGCAAAGAGTGACAGACAGGCACTTCTTAGGTCCTTTTTTGTATAATCTTATCCATTTATAAATAAGTAATAAAGATACTTGAAAAGATTCTTCCTATAGTATGAAACATTTATCTTATATTTGTGAAAAATATATAAAAATTTTAAATGCCTTACAAACAAGCTTACAAACAAGATATAAACAGGTTCTAACTTGTATTGGCATATACTGCATTAATATGTAATTCAAGGTAATTGTCAGATTAAGTATATATATGTCTCTAGTTTAATCTTACAGATTTTTAGTATTAGCAATTTGTTTCAACTTGATGATTTCACATAAAATACATTATGCATGAAATCCTTTTATCAGATGTTATTCAAAGTAGTAGATGGCCCCAAACACCATTGATAAAACTAAGCTATGTTTTCTTATTTGTGTTAAGAGCAAAATAGAGAAATCTTTATAAAACTTTTATAAGTTGGTCAAGTAGAATACTTTTGGAAGCTATTACTTTCAGTTTTAGGATATATTTTAGTAATATATCACCTGTGTCTGGGGATATAGCAAGAAGTGGGCTCAGTGGATATTGGACTTAAAAAAATTGTGTCAAAATTTTGATTAGTTGAAATGATTTAATGGAATTTTGGTTTTGGTTTTTGTGAGGCAAGCAAGGTCTTATTTTGTAGCTGAGGCTATTAAAATGCTTTGTAGCCAAGGCCTATCCAACTCATTAGTCTTCCTTGCCTCTACCTCTTGAGTGCTGGTATCATACACATGCATCACCTTACTTAGTGCTTTCATAGATTTTCCCCCCCATTGGGCATTGCATTTAATCCAGGGTTTTATATAGGGTCTTATATATTCTAAGCAGGTCCTTTACCGGTGAGCTACGTCTCCAACCCTTTCTTTTCTTTTCTTTTTTTTTTTTTTTGGGTCCGGTCGTGGGGCCTGAACTCTGGGCCTGGGCTCTGTCCCTCAGCTCTTCAGCTCAAGCCTAGCACTCTACCACTTGAGCCACA